ATTCCCATTCTGCAATTGTTGGAAACAATTTACTTTAGGTTATGCATCGAGAAAAGGGTCTCCTGTGTTAAATCAAAAGAGAAAACAAACTCTACCGAGAGAGATAACGAAGGTTGACAAGGGTTCGTTGTCTCTCTAAATACTTAGCATTAATTGTCATACTGTCCAAATGTACACTTTACCCATCATCGACAATTTTCATCCCTTATACAATTCGCCAGGCCCTTCGCTAATTATTATTTTTTTATTATTTTATATTTATATTTTAATTTTCGTTTGAAAATGTTCCGACTGTTATGAGAAAACATGTTGGTGCATATTTTTTGAAAAAAAAAAAAAATAAAATAAAACAAAAATAGTAATAATAAAAATAATAATAATAGTGATATTTAAAAGAAAAACGAAACAAAAAAATAAAACAAGTAACCAACGTCATTTTCTCTCTCAATATATTAACAAATATTTATTTAAAACGACAACGAGAACGTATTTATTTCGTACTTTTATTCGATATCGTGTAATTTTATTATTTTATGTTAAGCTTTCCAATAGATTATTTCCTGTAATATTTTGTATTTCTCATTCCCTGTCAATCCTTATATATATATATATGTATATAATATCTATAGAAAAAGAAATATACTGAAAAATATTAAAACCACGGTGATGCGTGTATGTAAAACTGTCGTGTAAATGATACGTTACGAAATAAACGTTATGTTTTTTCGTTTGATCTCTGCATTTATCGTATATTTCGTTTCTCGTTGTTTTTTTTTTCTTTTTTTGAATCAGTAGTCCAATGACATTGTCGTTTAAACATAACGTAAATTCTCAATTCTTCTCTACATTTATCAGAATATTATGAAGGGAGAATTTTTCAAACCTCATAAATTTATTTAATTATTACATTTTATTTCAGCTTTTTTAGTAAAACCGAATTTATCGTTCTTATATATTCAATATATGTAATGTTTATTAATTATTAGTTATAGTTAGTATAATATAGATATGTTATTATGATAAATGGTTTCAACAAACTTTTTCAATTATAGTTATCATCTTTTTTAACTATTGCAGAAGAGATGATACAAAAAAAAACAAAAGAAATAATATTTTCCTTACATTCAGAATGTATCATATTAAATTTTGGTTTCGATAAAATCCACGAATTAATCACCGCGTAAGAATCGTGTTCGCGAACGTTTAAAGAATAAAATGATATCAAATGAAGATACGTATCGTGAAAGACATTTGAGATACGATTTTGTGATTCGCGAAACACACTAACAGAACAGAAAATTTATATCCGACGTTATTTGGAATCGACTCGACTGGTTTATTATCTGATGCTCGATCTATTCCTCCTTGAATCCGTAACCCCACTCTTCCACCTCCCACACCCCACCATTCGCTTTACTCAACTCCTTCCCTCGGCGTGTTTCTGTTTGCCAGAGAAACAACCCTGTCGGCGTTTCTGGTATAAAAGCGGAGACTAGATTGGGGTAGTTTGAACCCTCAGCGAATAACAAATCCGAGTCTTTCGACAGTTCCTGCTTCAATGGCGAAATAAATAATGTGTGTGTGTGTGTGTGTGTGTGTGT